AATGAGTAAAGCATAATCGAGGCCTCTACCTGTTGACAAGGTGACGTGGGTCTCATTACAGAGACTTGAGCCAACATCAGGTGTAAATGGGAAATCCAGCAGTCCCCTGTCTGTGAGGAGCTGTTTCACTGAAGGACCCGGCCAGCATGAGCATGGAAAAGGAAAGTCCAGAGAAGGATCCAGTCTCCACCATGGTGCCTAGAACAGAAGAGCAGAGTTGGGTGGAGTCCTGGCCCCAAGATGTGAGTGGGGAGCATGGGTGGATCATCAGACTTGGGCGGTCTCTGCCATCTCCCAACTGGCCTTTGGGTTTCACCATAGAGGGGGACCTGAGGCTCATCCCATCACTGGAAGGAAGTATACACACACACACACACAGGCACGCACAATCAGCGTGCTGGGCTATACATTGATCTTTAGTGAATTTGATGTGAGTCAGGACTTGCATGGGATCTGCTAACACACGTTTTCTAGATGCAGCCCCTCTCTGAGCCCGTGACTGCAGTGGGAATTGCCATGTTTATATGATACAATCAACCTTTGGCCATGGTTTATTGAGCAAGAGTTGGGCACCTGACCCAACCTGACAAATGTGCATCTTTCCTCAGGAATTTGGAGGTGAGTCTGATAAAGGACCGCTTGTGTCTCTCTCCAGGGGGCTTGGCTACAGCTTGTATGCACAGTGGCTGGGACCTGGGTGCAGAGAAAGCTGATCGACAGTGAGGGGAAGGCGCAGGTTCACAGGGCCAGGTGGAGGTGAGAGAAAGAAGGGAGACTGGAGCCCTGGAGCCCAGCTTTGTCCCTGAGCTCCAGTGGAAGGAGCCTGTGGAGGGGCCCAGGGTCTTCCCCTTACATGCCCTCTTTGGACCTAAACACCCACAGTAGTTTCTGTGCATGCATCCCGAAGAGACCAGCCTAAATGTCCTGAGGGAGATGCCTGAGCCTGGGAAGCCTTGACTCCCGAGAACCATCTGCACTGCTCAAGAGGATGTCACTGCCCAGCTGCAGCACGATCAGGCCTCCGCACAGAGCCAGGGAAGGGCCTGGATGTGCAGCCCGGGGCAGGGGGCTGGACCATGGCCAGGCTGGCTTGGTCTGACCCATGGGATAAGGACAGAAGGAGGTGAGGGTCAGAGGAGAGAGGAAGCCCTGTAGAGCCTCTGACTGCCGAGGTTCTCAGGGCTCCATCATCTTGCTCTGGTCAGCCTCTCTCAGTGAGCCCACACGCAGACACAAGGCAGACAGGAGGGTCAGCGGTGTCAGTCGTACTCACATCTGGGTCCCCAGCCAGGACACTGGGCAGAGCAGGTGCTCAGTGTGCACGTGGTGGGTGGACAGTGTCTACTGGGGTGACCCAGCCCCAGCAGGTACCACAGTGCATGGTGGGGAGGGAACGGGGAGAGGAAGACAGAAGGAGACAAGGTGAACGACTCTGACAACCCGAGATTTGTGGGAGAGCCAGCCAACCCAGGGCGGAGAAAGCAACGTGGCACAAAGCTGGCTTCAGGAAACGGCCTTAGGCCTTAGTGCCGGGGCCTGACCTCCAGGCCTTTCCGAGGTGATCTGCAGGACAAAGCTCACACATGCAAGCCACAGTCAAATTTTACTGAGTTACCAAGGCAACGGAGGAGGCAGCAGAGAGAAACTCCCCCAGATCAGCACAGCTTATTTAAGGCAGTTTTAAGGATTTCTGTGCTTCCTGTGTATACAAAGACGACGGCACATGGGTGCTCGTTGCATCATTGCGATGTCTCAGGAAGGACCTGCATGGCTCACAGCAGCACGGGGGCAAATAATTTGGGGTTTGTTGGCTTCTTCGTTCAACAGATGTGGCACGCAAATCTGCCTAAAACGGGCATCTGCTCCCGAGATGCTGCTGGAGGCATGGACGAGGCGCTGGGTGGCCACACCCCAAGCAGTGGCCTCTGTGGTTGGCAGCCCTCTGCTCTGGCTGACGTTTCCACGTCATTTTGAAAGGACGAAGGCAGATACCCTCGCCCCACGGCAGTGACAGTGCATCAGCTTCCACAGCTAAGGTTTTGAAAACTCTGACAGGGCTCCCAAATAAGAGGTTCCCCTTCCTTGCAGAGAACCCGGCCTTTTCTAAGGGAACTTTAGAGATCGTTAATGTGAAAGGGGACAACCAAGTTCTCTGCCAATCACCACCGAGCCCAAATGCCACTGCTAGGGCTGATGTTGCCATCCCCTCGCCACATGCACCTGGCCCTCTCCACCGGCCGGTGCCTGGCGCCACCAGCCTCACCCCCCGGGATGGATGCCACTGGCTGTGCCTGTGACTGTGAGCCCTCAGGTGCCGTCCTAGACCTGCAGGATGGCAGCCTGGGCTGGTGGGCTGAGCCAGAGCTAGGCGGATTTCTCACAGCCAAACGGACCGCCACATGGAGGCGATGATCGAGCACGGAGACAGACTTTACTGCCTGTGTAACTGTGATGATTAAAGTTATGTGTCAATTTGACCGGGCTAGGGGACACCCAGACAGCTTGTAAAACATCATTTCTGCATCTGTGGAAAAGATTAGCATTTGATTCAGTAGACCGAGTGAAGAAGACCCGCCCTCACCCATGTGGGCAGCATCACCCGATCCGCTCCGCTCCGCTGACGGCCCCAGGAGACAAGGAAGACGGAGCAAGGACCAGTTCCCCTCCCCCTGCTTGAGCTGGGACGTCCATCTTCTCCTGCCCTGGCCCATCACAGCTCGGGCTCTTGGGCCTTTGGATTCGGACTGAATTACACCACCGGCTCTCGTGGGTCTCCCGTTTGCAGACGGCGGATGGCCGGACTTGTCAGCTTCCATGACTTCATGAGCCAATACCTATAATAAATCTCTTCCTATTGGTTCTGTCTCTCTGGAGAACCCTGACTAATACAGGAATCAAAGGCTTGTTCCTGAAAACTGCTTTCCAGACTCTTCTGTCCTCCTGGAGCTAAGCCACTGTTGAGTCCCAGGAGATGGATTTTTTTAACCAGACCCCCTGCTGGACCATGCTCACACCTCCACTGTGCATCCCAGCCATCAAAGGCAGCAGAGACTGGTCATCCTAGCTGGCGGGACGTGGTCCCTCCTCGGCCACGCCCACCCCAGGGCCTCCCCAGGGGAGGACAACAGCCCAAGCTCTCTGGCACGTGGGGGTCTCATGATTGCCTCCGCCTCTCACTGGCCATGCCTCCCTAGGAACTGCTTTCAGTGTTGTTTTCCCCCGCAGCAGCACCATAAGGACCCATTTGCATGCCTTGCTGGTGGACTTGATGCCGTCACATTCTGGTCTCCGTGACAACAAGGAGCACCTTTAAATAGCAAGTGACGCTCCTTCTACCAGGTGGCCTCCCAGCTGGGATGGTCCTGGGGCCTCCCTGCCACTCCCTTGCTGTATGGGAAGGGGCGGTCTCTTTTCATAGAATGAAGGGACAGGGAAGTGTGGGCATCTGGGGCAGAGGGCTCCAGCGCATGCTCTTATGGTGGCAGGAACTGACTGGGAGCAAACCAGGACCTTGTGGGGTAAGGCAGCTCTTTTGGGGACCGGGCTGTGTCCGAGTACGTCCCCTCCCACCAGAGAAGCAGACGCCCTCTCCTGGCCTCACGGTGGGCTCCACCTGCCTGAGGACGGAGGGTCCGAGGATTCGGAGGCAGCATTTTCTGAACTCTTCGCAGAAAAAGACAAGAAGGAAACACACCTCCTACCTCTAAATGACCCGATCATCAGCAGTTCTTTCTGAGTGTCTCCCTTTTCCTTCTAAAAACTTTCGCAAAGTCCAACAAATAGATTTTTTTATAGTAAAAAGATTATTTTTCAAGGAAATGCATTTCCTGGCAAAACTCTAGCACCTGTGCTTATGCAAATGGGCAGAACAGACAGGGAGTCCGGAACCGTGTGCCCAGCCAGGGGGCCAGCCGACAGCTTTGAGCAGCTCCACACAAATGGCTCAGCAGAGCTTTTAACAAACAGCACAGGAAACAAGCCCCAGGGGTCCACGTGACTCTCTTAGGTCCTAGCCTGGATGTCATCGAAGGACCAAATGAGGGGCCAGAATTTCCCCACGCCCATGGGCCTGAGGGAGGGTGCTGATGACGAGAGGGACTGGTCACCTGGAGGGCCCAGAACGTCGGTCCCCAGATGACTGAGCACTAACTCCACTGGATGTCCCAGCAGAGGATGGACTCCAGGGCAGGCGGTGAGCCGTCCCAGCCCATGTCACCAGAGGCCGACAGAGATCCCATTGGCAGCCCACACACCCTGGTGAGGGGACCCAGGACACCAGCCCTGGGGTGTGGGGGCTCAGACACGCTTCTCTGGCCCCCCTGGTTTGACTTCCCTTTGCCGAGCAAAGGTCTTGAAGTGGGAGAGCAAGGAAGGGAAGACAGAGCCTGAAATGCCCCCTTCTCTCCACTTAGGCAGCAGGGGCCACCTCGGCACCCACTGGACGCGGCAGGAGGAGAAAGGAGGCTGGCCCCTGACCCAGGATTGGGGGACATCCCAGCAGCTTGGCTGCATCCCCACCCTCGAGGGAGCTCTGGAAATGCTGGCCTCCCCCTGCAGACACCCAGGTGGTGTGGGCAAGTCGGCAGGCCAAACTCACTGCTTGGTCATCCCTGCCCGTGCACGCAGGAGATGGGGCCATGGGGAGGGAACGTGGACGCAGCACGGCTCCCTAAGGAAGGGCCAGCCTCTGCTTCAGACGCACTGCTGGGATTGTCAGCTTCCTGATCTTGGCTGTGTGGGAGGTCCCAGGGGGAGCCCTGGGGGAGGCGTCAGTCTGTGTGGAGAAGCCAGAGCTGGTGTATTGAACATGCAGAATGTGTACGTATTCTGAATATGCATTAAGAAGATGCAGATTATGACCTGCAGAATGAGGGGGTACAAGCCACCCACATGGGTGGGCAGGTAGCTCCCTCAGCATCCGAGCTCCCACTTTGGGGAAGTGAAACTCATAGGGTCATTCTGATTGAAGGCACAGATTCAACACACTCACACAAAGGAAGTACAGTCACAGGATTTATTACTTATAGATCCCAGAATGGGGGGAGGGGGTGGCAATGAGCCAGGGAAGGGCAGTCCTCCCATCCCAGGTCACGAGGGAGCAGGAGATAGAGAGCAGAGCAGCAAGCACCTGTCACGTATACGGTGGTTGGGGCAGAGGTCATTAACTTCCCATGGCCTTAACTATAAATATTACTTTATTTTTTAAAAGATTGGCACCTAACATCTGTTGCCAATCTTCTTTTTCTCTTCTTCTTCTTCTCCCCAAAGCCCCCTAGTACATAGTTGCATACTCTAGTTGTGGGTCCTGAAGCAGAGAGTGCGAACTTAACCACTCGGCCCCGGGGCCGGCACCAAAAATGGTTATTTTAAAAGGTGCCCCGGGGAAGGCAAAGCAGGAATTTTTGGCGGGAATCCTAAGCTCAGGCCCTTCTGCGAGCAGGCCGTCACACTGTGAAATGCAGAGGCAGAGACTCAGAACAGCAGTTTTCTCGTCACAGCTTCCCAGGAATCCAAGAGTGAGCTGCGGACCAGCTTCCCCTTCAGGACGCCTCCTTTGCTTCAGGCATCCAGAGGCTGCCAGAAATGCCAGCACATGCCAGGGTCATGCGGGAGGACCGAGGGGCACCAGCGCCCGCCTCCTGCACAGCAGAGGGGCAGCAGCCGTGAGCGGCCAGGCCAGGGCAGAGAGGATGCTGCAGCTCTGCATCAGCGCCTGGCAAGGGCAGTGGGCAGCCAGGCTTTGTGCACCTCCTGGGGTGCAGACAACAGCAGCCCCCTCTGCCCTTTCCCAGAGCTCTCCAAGATGAGCGCTCCTCACCCCAGTGACTGGGTGCCAGCCCAAGGCCCACACCCTCCCGCCACCTGGTTGCCCACATGCCACTGGCACTGAGGATGTGTCTGCTGGCCACTGGCCCACAGAGGGCCTCAGAAGAGGGACTTCTCAGCACCACCTGTGCCCATCCACAAACCACCCCCAGGGAGGATGGGGGTCAGCACTGAAGTCTGCTCCAGCCATGGCTTCACAGTGTGACCGAATGCTGTGAGCTCCTCGGTGTCCCTCCACCACACCTGCCCCCTTGGATGGGGCAGGAGTCAGCCAAAGTCCCAGAACATTCCTGCCACCACCCTGCAATGGGAGTCCAGGAGGCTTGGGGGCAGAGGGGCTCAGAGGCACAGGAGGTCCCCATGAGGCACGGCACACCTCCTCAGCCTTCCCAGAGGCTGCTGCTGCTCAGAGAACCAGGATAAGCGGCCTCGTGGGCCGGCTACACCACTGGGATTGCTGGGGGAGGAGGGGAAAGCAGAGAGCCAAAGCACCCTCCCCTGCCCCAGGGACCCAACAGGCCCTCAGGCCTCCCTCAAGGGTCCCCCAGGGCAGGTCTTGGAGAGCAAGGGGCTCCCTCTGCTGTGAGCAGGCCATGCCTGTCCCCATTTGCAGGGAGGCCCTGAGGTCTGGGTGCAGCTGTATAGGGCTAGGCCCCCTCCCGGCACCACCTGTCAGCCCAGGAAGACCCCTCCCCAGCCTTGCCTACACTTGGCCTGGTCTGTTCGGTAGTGTAAACCCCGACGTGTCCAAGAACACGTCTAGGAATACACCCAAGGAATTGAGGGGAAACACGTCTAGGAATACACCCAAGGAATTGAGGGGAAACACACAGTGACCATTCGCCCACCGGCCAGGGGTTTAGGGAAGGGGGCCAAGGACACACGTGACCCCCAGAAGGTGGGAGTGGGACATCACCTAGAGCTTAGCAGAGGATGCAAAATCCGCCAGCAACTTGACGTCATTAGGGAATGTCAGCCACGCCCCGCCATCAACCACCAGCAAGGCCCCGGTCACGTAGGATGCCAAAGGGCTGGCCAGGTAGAGAACACTGTGGGCGATCTCCGTCTTGTTCCCCAGCCTCTGCAGGGGGCTGGCCAGGACGTTCTCCCTCATGCTGGCCCGGGAGCCACCTGGGAGAGCAGCCCGAAGCTCAGTCTCTGTGAGCCCCAGGACCCCAGGCCATACACCCTCCCCTGCCCAGTTTTCCCTAAACCTCATCCGGGAGTGTTGGGGGCACTGTTAGCATCATCCTGGCAGAGCAGGCACAGGCCATATACAGAGTAACACCCCCACAGAACCAGCACAGGGGTTTTTGACGTACACCCTGCCAAGGTTCTGGAAGCTTCAGTGGGTGCCCCACTTTGTGTCCAGCTCACGTATCACGGCCAGCAGCCCTGTGGCCTCTACCTCAAGGGAGCAGCTATCCAAGTCCAGGTGACCATTAGTCCATCACGGGTGTGCACTAACTAAGAATGACCCTGACTCGGCTTGGGGACAGATTCTTTGCCAGCCCTGGGGAGCTGAAGACTGGGCACTTATCCTGGGCCTGTCCCAGCCATGCAGGAGGGAAGCCCTGCAAAGGCACTGTGTGGCCTGTGACCGAGGAGCATCTGTGGAGGGCCTGGGCTCCCCGAGAGCCTTACCCAGCCGCCGCAACCCCTCCGTGCCACTGATGGGGCCAGGGGCAAGGCTGTTGACACGGATGTTTTGGGGACCCCACTCCACAGCCAAGTGCCGGGTCATTGCATCTGCATGGAAGGGAGAATGCAGCGCTGCTGTGCCTTCTGGGGTGGCCCAGGTGTGAGCTAGTGCTCAGGGGCAGAGCCTGGCCATGCCACGGCCCATCGCTGGGCTCAGCTTCACTTGGATACTGCCAGCCTCCAGGGACAGGCAGGAGAGGGACCCAATGGGAACCCAGGTGGGCAGATCAGAGGGGGCACCCGTACCCACAGCCGCCTTGGCTGAGCCTGCATGCACTTGGAGCATCTGCCCCCGGGCACCCAGGGTCGCAGTGATGTTCACAATCACCCCTCCATGGTCCTGCAACACACGGGGTAGGGGACAGGGCATGAGCGGGTGGTCAGAAGAAGGGAGGCCTCGGCCGCAAGGACACACACCCGGAAAAACTTCTCGTAGAGCACGCGAGACATGTTGAAGGTGCCCAAGGTGTCGATGTCCATCACAGTCTTGAAGGCATTGAAGGACAACGCGCTGGCGGGGCACAGGAAGTTTCCAGCTGCACCTGCAGGGTGGAAGGAGACCACTGATGGTGCCGGAGTCCCGGGCAGTTAGAGCATCTGGACCTTCAGGGTGGTCCAGCCTGGACAGGGAAGGAGACCCGGGCATTTGGGCAAATTCCTGAATAACAGATGTTATAAGTTGAACTGTGTCCCTCAAAAGATGTGTTGATCTCCTAACCCCTGGTACCCATGAATGTGACCTTCCAGGTATTTGGAAATACCATCTTTGCAGCTGTGGTCAAGTTAAAATCAGATCATCCTGAATTACGGCAGGCCTAAACCCAAGACTGGTGTCCTTGCAAAAAGAGGAGAGGACAGACACACACAGAGAGAAGGCCACGTGAAGGAGGCAGAGACTGGAGTGACGCCCAGGACTGCGGGCCACACCAGGAGCTACTAGAAAGGCCTGGAACAATCTCCCCCGGAGCCTGCACAGGGCGCAGCCCTGCGGACACCTGGGTTTCGGACGTCTGGCCTCCAGACTGTGAGGCAGTGTATTTCTATTGCTTTAAGCCACCCAGCTGGTGGTGCTTCGTCAGCCAAAGGAAACCAACACCCCTGATGTTTTTTGGGTTTTTTTGAGGAAGATGAGCCCTGAGCTAACATCTGCTGCCAGTCCTCCTCTTTTTGCTGAGGAAGCTGCCCCTGAGCTAACATCCATGCCCATCTTCCTCTCCTTTATATGTGGGATGCCTGCCACAGCATGGCTTTTGCCAAGCAATGCCATGTCTGCACCTGGGATCCGAACCAGCGACCTGCGGGCCACCGAAGCGGAATGTGCGCACTTAACCGCAGTGCCACGGGGCTGGCTCCCACCCCTGATATGTTTAAAAGGGAATTTCAGCAAAGAATGAACCTTGATGGAAACTATGACTAGAGTTAACAATATATATCAATATTGGTTCATCAATTCTAACAAATGCACGATGTTAATAATGGGGGACACTGTGGAATTCTACGTACTATCTGCTCAATTATTCTGCAAATCTAAAACTGTACTAAAAAAACAAAATTTATCATTTTTTCTTTTTTAGGCGGAATTTCAGGACACCAGAGTGCCACTGACTGATTCAGCTGAGTTCACGGGGCATCCAGGTGAGCCATGCCTGCAGTGACCCAGAAGGAGCAGAGCTAGGCCAAGACAGTGGCCTGAAGTCTGGGACAACAGTTCTGGGGGCTCCAAACAGAGAGGTTCACTCTTTGGCAACCCATCAGCAGCCCTCTGGCCTCGCCCACAGCAACTCACAGTTAATGAGAATGTTGATTTTCCCAAACTCCTTCAGTGCCTGGTCCACGGCAGCCATGATGGCTGGGGGGGCTCGGACGTCCAGAGATAAAGGCAAGCACCGCTGGCCGGTGGCAGCAACCAACTTCCTGGCAGCCTAGAAGCCGGACAGAGGTGGGCAGCAGCCGAGTGGCTTTGGCCGGCAGGGACAGCCTGTCAGAGTCTGGCGGGGATGTGTCTAGGTTTTACCGGGAGGCCGAGGTTTGCTGCTGGACCTTGCTCTGGGGAGGCGCAGCAGGCAAGTGGCCACTCCCTGGGGTCACGACCCCTGGTGGACATTTCTAAGACATCCCACACTCTCTCCCTCCCGCTTGCCCCATGATCCTCTGTCCACATCACCCTCCAGGCCACTGTTCACAGGTCATAGGTCCATAGCAGCTCCAGCTGACTTTCAGTTCTTGGCTAGAGACCAGCGGTGGCAGTGTGAGACTCTCGTCCCAGGTGAGTGGGACAACGAGGACGAGGACCACCCTCATGACCCTGGGGAGCCCAGAGATCTCCCTTGGGGCCACAGTACCACCCAACATGAGGGCCCCCTCACAGGACCCAATGATTAGATTTACACAAAGAAACACAAAAGTTTCCCTGAGAGGCCATTTCCATTGAAGCTCCATATGTGGGAGAGGAGCAGGCTTTGGTGTCACCATCCTCTGGGCCTAGGACCCTCCAGGCCCAGGCTCCAGGCCCATACAGCCACCCACAGACAGGGTGGGCACAGAAGAGACCCCCTCACCGTTGACACTCTGGGAAGGCTTCTGCTAGCGATGACCGTGTGGCAGCCGTGCCTGCAAAGCCAGAGCGCAGGTGTGAAGGTGGCAAGGTGTGAGGGACACACCCAGGTGGACTCATGCCTGGTGCTCTAAGCAGAGCTCCCTTCCCCCAGGGATCTCTTGGGCTGCAGCACCAGCCCAGGGCTGAAGGCACAGCTGGCAGAGGACACAGGGGCCTGAGCAGGGCTGAGCAACTGTGGTGGGACCTCAGGTGGGTGCCATGAGCACAGCTGGCCGTACTCTGCTGGAGAAGCAACACGCACAAAGCCACCAGCTAGGAATGCGAGCTCCCTCAGAACGGATGAATTCCCAAAACCTCGTCCAGTGGGACTCACCTCTCTGCTATGAAAAGCGGGGGCCCCGGGGGAAACTGGGGAAGGGTCCCTAGGATATCAACAGGCTCCCTCTCCCCCAAGGCTAGATTAACTCTGGGCCTCTCCCTGGGAGGGGTGGCAAGTTGCTGACGGGGGCCTGAGATCACAGAACTTGTGTCCCAAGAGACACTATGCTCTGCACAGTGCCAGGGTCAACTCAGGCCCCCCAGACCCTGGCATGGTGAGGCCTCAGGGGGCCCTGCAGCAGAGTTCCCTCAACGTGTTGCACTGCCCTCTTTGTATAAACGTGGGTGCTGAGGCCAGAGTCGCACAGCCTCAACTAACCTCCAGGAGAAAACCCTGGAGTCCTGCCTCCCCCAAGACAGCATTTGACCTATTTCAGATGCTCCCCCATGGCCCATTGCCCAGAGGCGCTCCCACCACCCACCAGCATCCTGCCCAGGGATCCCAGGATCCAGCAGAATCCATGCAAGGAGAAGCAAGGGTCGGGAGTGGGCACGGAGCACACAGGGCAGTGCTCACCGCATGAAAATCTCAGCAATCCGGAACCCGATCCCAGAGCCACCACCTGTGATGAAGGCCACTTTGTCCCTGAGAGAAGAAGATGAAGAGAGTCTCTCTGTTAACTGAGGGGTGGTGGGACGCGGGTGGCTCTGGGAGGACTTTCACTCTCTGCACCTTATGAAATCCACATTGTTGACAAGAAGCATGGATGACTTTTGTAACAAGAAAATGAAACGTTGCTTTTTAAATCCTGCATTGCTAGGCTTTCTAGGTCTTCAGGAAAAAATATTTCAACCTAAAATTCTCTATTCGGAAAGTTATCAATTAAGTGAGAAATGTTTTCAAAACGTACAAGTCTTTCCCCACCCACCCCTCTCTCCCAGGATTACCACTAAGAATACCCACCACCACTGGCCAAGACAATCGGACCGCGCTCTCAGCGGTGCAAAGATCAAAATACCGGAGCGCTCGCAACCCCAGGGCCACCTGGACATCTGGACAGTCTGGCCGCCGGGGCATGGGGTCCTCAGACATCCCGGTAAAACCGTAGTCCTAGCGCCACCTCCCCGGAGGCTGCGCCCTGGGCGCCCCGAGCCCCAGCCCCGCTCGTGCCTCACCGGAGCAGGTCGGGGCAGAAGAGGTGGCGGTACTCAGGGAGACAGTCGTCCTCTCCGACGTCGGGCGGCGGCTGGGCCATGGCGCTCGGCGCGCGCCGGGACGGCGAGGACGGCAGGCACCCGCCCGGGAGCGATCAGAGCAACGGCCTCGGCCTCCGGGACAGGCGGGTGTCTGGGGTCGTCTGCGCTCCGCCCCACTTGGCCCGGGTACGCGGAGCCACGCCCGGCGCCGTCGGCGCCTCTACTCGCCGCCGCCCACGCTTCCTCCAACCCCAGGACGCCCTGCCCACCGCCGCGCTCGCTCCGCCCAGGACGCCCCGCCCACTGTCGCCCTCTCCTCCGGGAAGCCCCGCCCACCGCCGCGCTCCTTCTGCCCAGGACGCCCCGCCCACCGCCGCCCACTCTCCTCCAGGACGCCCCGCCCACCGCCGCGCTCGCTCCGCCCAGGACGCCCCGCCCACCGGCGCCCACTCTCCTCCGGGACGCCCCGCCCACCGCCGCACTCGCTCCTCCCTGGACGTCCCGCCCACAGTGGCCGCGCGGCCTGCTGGGACTGGAAGTCGGTCGGAGTACGGCGGAGAGCGCAGGCGCACTGCGCCTGGCAGGCTCCTGCCGTGGAGGCCTGGTGACCATCCCGCTCTCGGTCCGAGTCCCTTTGCCGAGATCGGGCGTGAGTGCCGTGGTCAGAGCTAGCTGGACTCAGCTGGCACGCGGTTCCTGGGTTAAGGCAGGGCTCGCAGACCGGCCCAAGGCCCCTCGGCTTTCCCCACCGCTCGGGGCTCAGCCGTGCATTTAAAACACGTGGTTGGGGGCGCTCAGCATCTCAGTGCCCTGGACATCTCCCTGCCTTGTTGCATCAACTTGACAGAAGAGGAGCAGAGGGAAGGAGACGAGCCCAGAAAGCCACGGAAGCGAGGAAGCCTTTTCCCTTCAGAGTCAGCCTCGGTGCCAGTTCCTGAAATGACCCGTTTCATGGCCGATATGAAAGGTCAGGGCACTTCATCCCTGCCCCCAGGCGGAGGCACAGGTAGCAACCTGTCAACTTAAAAACAAATTAGCCTGCTAATTCATCTCAAAATGAGTTTATTTGGGAATAACCAAAAGAATTGCAACTTGGGATGTGCATGCTATCGCAAACCAAAAACAACTTCGGAAAACAAGGGAGGGAGCTGACTTTATATAGAAAAGGGGGAGTAGGGAGGGGCTGTCCTAAAGGAAAGTCCATTGGGGGGAAGTAACAGTTCAGGGCAGTAACGCTTCTCATTGGCTGAGCTGGAGCGCTTCTCATTGGCTGGGCGGTCACCCGGTGAGGAGAGAAATCTTCCTTCAGTAGTAAAGTAGTTTTATTTACCATCCATGATGCAAGTGTCCCTCTCTTGCTGCTCGGTGTAATTGAGGATGTGATGGGGGTGTGAGCTCCCCCTACAGGCCCTCCCCACTCCAACTTAATTAAGGTTTCTGTGATTAATTTCCACAAACTGACGCTGTGAATCCAGGATCCAGGCATCCCTCACCAACATGTCAAAAAGTGGAGTGAAGAGCAAGTCAACCTCAGCAGGTATAATGATGTGCAGAGTCCAGTACCTGTGATGAGTGACCACGGACACACCTGGCAACCAGGTGAGGTGTGATATGTGTAGTGTCAACGTGACGTGAAAACAACCACACAGCTCCAGGCAGCCTCAGCTACACAAGGCCATGAAGAGGAGGGGCCAAGATCACCAGGCTTTCTGCCCTGGGGGTGGTCTCACCCCACCCTCAGCCCCATGCACCCCCTACACCTACCCCTTCCTGCCACCCTCCTGTCCTGCCCAAGGCAGGCAGCTCCTCCTTCAGCAGGATCAGAGTTGGGGCTGGGACAGCACCAGCTCAGGGGCTCTGCTTGGATTCCCCGATTTCAGGCTGGAGGTCTCTGAACCTCTGCCTGTCTCATACATTCAGCAAAGTTATTGGTTCCCTACTGGTGTGAGAGAGGGTAAGCTTCATTTCCACTCTCAACTGCTTACAACTCTGCATAAAGGCCTCCTTCCTACCTCAGAGATGGTGGAAGTCATAATGAGCGCTCCACTACCCCCCCCCCACAGCACAGTGACTTTTAATGCCCCTCTTTTGGGGGAGGGGAGGTCACACTACCCTCTTTTGGAGACACCCCAAAGGTTGTCTGGCACTTTGGTAGAGAAAGGATTTGCTCCAGTCTCTTGCTGGCTTAAGATACTAAAAGGCACATTAGGTTGGTGGCTCAACCCCTCTGGGCTGGGCTGGGGCAGAAAGTGGACAGGGAGCTGGTCTGGGATAGATGGGCAGAGCGTGGGTGTGGGCTCAAGTTCTTGTCGACAGAGGTAGTTGGTCCTGGGTGGATGCTGGCGTGGCCGCGGGCAGCCTGAGCTTCAAGCCGGGTAGGTGCTGCTGTGGTGGCCTTCATCTGCCCAGTCCACCAGCTCGCCGCTCTGGAACCACAGCTGGATCTCTCTCTGGGCCCCCTCCACGGAGTCGCTGGCGTGGATGACATTTCTGTGCCAGGTGGTAGGCAGCAGAGGTAAGGCACAGGCTTCAGTGTGCACTTTGGGATCCCAGGGACAGTTTGCTGATCCCTTACTGTCTAGGGGAGCCAGCCGAGTGATTATGCGGCGAGGAAAGGAAGAGAGGGGGACTGGAAAGCTGGGTTCCAGCCTGGCCTCAGCCTCTTACCCACAACGTCATGGCCAGCCCAGACTGTCTCTGGGAGCCCCATTTGCCCACCAGTCATCCCGTGCCAACCCCTGGGTGTATCTGGCAAGAAAGAGTCAGATAACAGGCCATGATGGCAGTGGATGTACACGACACATAGGGAATGCCTCATCACCTCCTGTGTGCGTGAAAGCACTTTGAAAAAACTGCACTAGCAAACGAGAGGTGTGACATCCCACCATCAGCAGTCTCTTCTGCTTTACCTTTGCCCGGCAAGACACCCAGGTCCCATGGACCTGCCTTAGAAGCGGCCTGCCACCCCAAATGCAGGCCCTCCTCAACCCCTAGTGAGCTGGCCCATCAGCTCCAACCAGCCGAGTGTGTCAGGGCCCCTGTACCTGCTGATGTGGATGCTGAAGTCTCCCCGGATGGTGCCAGGGGCAGCCTCAGCCGCGTCAGTGTGCCCTATCATGGCCCTCGAGGTGCAGACCACATTGGGGCCCTCCCAGACCTGCAGCACACAGATAAATGAGGTTGGGAGAAGTGAGGCCACTAAGGGCTCCGTGGCTCTGGGCTCTGTCCGCCTCCACCCTACCACTGCCCCGCCATACCATGGCCACCACGGGCCCGGAGCTCATGTAGCTGATGAGGGCAGGGTAGAAGGGCTTCCTCCGAAGGTCGTGGTAGTGCTCAGCAAGGATGCTCTCTGGCGCCTGGGTGGCATTGGGGGAAGAGGTGAGAGGAGCCCCAAGAGAGGGACCCCCACAGGTCACTGGGGCAGTCACTGTGGTGTCCTGACCTCAGGGCACTTTGCAGATAACACCTAGATGGTCCAGCACGTCAGCCACAGGAGCACAGGACACATGCCTCCCCGCCCCCCGCCCCCTTCTACGGCTGAGGTCCATGAGAACCCCTCCCCCCGGTCCCCAGAGGGACACCCAGAGGCCCAGGCCGAGCCCTGGTACCTGCAGCATCTTCATCCCCACCAGCTTGAAGCCCCTCCGCTCAAAGCGCTGGATCACATCCCCAACAAGCCGCCGCTGCACCCCGTCTGGCTTCACCGCGACCAGGGTCCGCTCCCGGGTCCAGGAGGGCCCTCCTGTAGAAGACAGGGGGTCAGGGCTGCCGCCACTTCACCCTTTCCCGTCTCCCCGACCGGAGTTCCCCTGCCAGGGCCTAGGTGTCAGCTGGGCTTCAGAGTGTCTGGCTCTACCACAGCAGCTCTGGAGGGGAGGAGCTGCGGAGCATGGCACCGCCTGTCGGGGACAACGGGGGCAGTGGGTCCCCCAGGGCCTCCAGCCTGCCGCAGGGGCCATGGCTCCTCCCAGGCCATGGCTGAAGTTGCCCATGATGGAGCCAGTGTCCACTAGGAAGGCATCTTAGAGGGCTGGAGGCCCCAGGGAGGCAGAGCCCGGCTCAGTGGCCACCCGGAGGCCCAGAGATGCTGCACTGGAAAGAAAGCGAGACTCCAGAAGTTCCCAGGGATGGCACAGACACGTCCGAACCCCCAACCTGCCACATCGCGAGGGTCTGAGGGAACCCAGGAGAAGCGAAGGGAAGGCAGGAAGGAAAATTAACCACAACGTGTGCTGGGCCTGGAGAGCAGGCAGTAAGTGCCCACCACATCCCTTCACTGCTGGAGGACGCCCCACTGTCGTGTTTGCTCCCCCAAAACCCAGTGCCTGCCCCCCGCCCCCCATCTAGCCTGGCCTGGCTTGTGCCGTGGAAGATAGCAGTTCGCTCTTTCCAGCGTTTGGGACACTACGACATCAGGCCCTCAGGACGCACGCCGTGGGCAGGCAGCTGGGGCAGGGGACCCGCTACAGACACGAGCCCCAGGGCTCCAGGCAGGGACACCCAGGCAGAGTTAGGGCCTGGACAAAACGCCCCGAGGAGCGGCTCCGTCGGGAGTGCTCATCTGCCGAGAACGACCCCCCTCAAGAGCCCCTGGTCCGCTCGGACCCCCATCCCCACCCAGCGTGGCCACCACGCCTCTGGCTTCCTCCTGCTCCGGTGCCCTCGGGCCCCGCGGCCCCGAGACAACCTGGGGGCGGGCGAGGGGTGCGGGGGGGGGCGGGCAGCGAGCGGCGGGGAGGGGCGTGCAGGGCCCCGGCCGCGGCGGCGGGACCCGAGCAAGGCCTCCCGGCGACTCAGGCGGGCGGCGGGGGTCCGGGTCCCCAGCCCCACGGCCCGCCGGCCCGCGCGCGCGCCAACAAAGGCCGGCGGCGCCCCGCCCGCTCCCTCCCCGCGCGGCGCGGCGCCCGACTCACCCGAGCTGGGGCGCGCGCGCAGGCTGGGCCCGGGGGCCCGCGGGCCGCACAGCAGCCCCCGCAGCGCTCCGCGTCCGAAGAGGCCGCCCATGACGCCCGCCGGGCCGGCCGCCGGCTGCGCGCGGGGTCGACCGAGCCCAAGGGGGAGGGACGGAGGGGGAGGGGCGGGGGCGGGGCGGTGCCCGGCTTCAGGCCCCGCCTCCGGCCCGCCCCCCGGCCCGGCCCCCAGACCAAGCCACCCTCAGTGCCTCCCCGACCCTGCTCCCCTTGCAGGGCTCGTGGAGGTGTTTATTGTCAGTTTCTGTTAAAATCGGAAGAAAAAAAACATATAATAGTAATGAACCCAGCCTCGATTATGTTCGTCTTCATACCCACTAGGTCGTTAAACATCATTTTAGATATTTTTTATGGAGGGGCCCACGCGAGTGCCCCTGCGGCGCGGTCCTGGACAGCGCGTCTCGCAGCTGCCTTTTCCCCGGACGTGGGGCTCGCTAGGGAATTACACTCTCACCCTGGGTCGGAGGAAAGGCTGGAGGGTGCACCTGGATCGACAGGCAAGGTCAGACCAGGGCTCCTTAACCTCCGCTCAGTCCGAGCGTTTGGGTGGGGAAAAAATCTCCCCTTTATTACCGAGGGGCTTCTGACGTACCTACTGTTTGAAACACGAGGTCTCCTGCTCGATCTTATGTAGTGAGCTCTTGAAAAGGCATGCATGCTTTTTGATGCTGCTGTGAATGGAATTGTTTTCTTAATTTCTTTTTCAAAAAAATTTATTCTTATTATACTCTTTTTTTAATTATTTATTTTTTTCCTTGAGGAAGATTGGCCCTGAGCTAACAGCTGTGCCAGTCTTCCTCTATTTTGTATGTGGGACACCACCACAGCGTGGCTTAATGAGCGATGCATAGGTCCATGCAGGGGGATCCCAGCCTGGGCGCAGGACACTGAAACAGAGCCTCTGAACTTAACCACTACACCACAGGACCAGCCCCCTGATCTCTTAATTTCATTTTCAATTATTCATTGCAAGTGTATAAAAAACAGTTGATTTTTATATATTGATCTTGTATCCTGCAAGTTTGCTGAACTCATTTATTAGTTCTAATAGATTTTTAGTGGATTCCTTAGAATTTTCTACGTGCAAGATTATGTCATGTGGGAATAGAGATCATTTTACTTCTTTCCCAATCTGGATGCCTTTTACTTCATTTTCTTAGTTGCTCTGGCTGGACTCTCCAGTACAGGGCTGACTACAAGTAGCCTTCTTTCTTCACTGTCTTAAAGTGGGAAGTTAGGTTGTTGCTTTGAGATATTCTTTCTCTGTGTGGAAATCAATAAAAGAAACCTTAAGAAATATAGAGAAGGGTCTGCAGGGGGAGCTTTCACCACCATCACCCATCATCAACTGCACCAAACAGGAACAGACAGGACACTTGCGTCTCCCACAGGAAGTACACCTACTTTACTCCTGAAGGAAGATTTCTCTGCCTGGCTGGCAACAGCTCAGCCAATGAGAAACGCTGCAGCCCAGCCAATCAGAAATGCTACAGCTCAGCCAATCAGAAATGCTACAGCTCAGCCGATCAGAAATGCTGAAGCCCAGCCAATGAGAAAGACCACAGCTCAGCCAATCAGAAATGCTGCAGCTCAGCCAGTGAGAAGCCGGCCCTGAACTGTCACTCTTCCCCAGTGGACTTTCCTTTAGAACAGCCGGGGCCAACTCTCTCTTCGCTCTAGAAAGGCAGCTCCCTCCTTTGTTTTCTGGATTTGCCTATGGTTTGCCATAGCATGCCCATCCCAAATTGCAATTCTTTTGGCTATTCCCAAATAAACTCATTTTGAGGTAAAAAAAATAGGCAAATTGGCTTTTAAGTTGACAGTTGTTAGTATAGACTTTTGCAGCTATAAATTTCCCTCTAAACACTGCTTTAACTGTTATTCCCTAAGTTTTGATGTGTATGTCTTCAATTTCATTCATCTCAAAGTATTTTCTGATTTCCTATACTTATAGTCCTCTGAAAACTACATCATTGCTGAAAGAAATGAAACAAGATCTAAATAAATGGGGAAACATCCCATATTCATGGATTGGAAGACTCAACATTGTTGAGATGGCAATACACTCAAACTGATCTATAGATTCAACTCAGTCCATAGCAGAATCCTAGCTGAATTCTTTGTAGAAATTGATAAGCTGATCCTAAAGTTCAATGGGTTTGCAAGAGTCCCCAAATAGCCAGAAACTCCTGAAAAAGAACAAAGCAGGAAGACTCACACTTCCCTATTTCGCAACTGACTACAAAGCAACAATAATCAAGACAGTGTGGCACTGCACGAGGCTAGACGTATAGAGCAATGGCATAGGATGGAGAGTTCAGTAATACATCCATACATTTATAGTCAACTAATTTTGACGAGGGTGCCAAGACCATTTAATGAGGGAAAGAACAGTCTTTGCAACAAGTGGTGCTGGTACAACAGGACATCCACATGCAAAAGAATGAAGTTGAACCCTTACCTCACATCATATTAAAAAGTTAACTCAGGGGCTGGCCCCATGGCCAAGTGGTTAAATTCGCACGCTCCGCTTCAGTGGCCCAGAGTTTCGCTGGTTCGAATCCTGGGTGCAGACATGGCACTGCTCATCAAGCCAATGCTGAGGTGGCATCCCACGTGCCACAACTGGAAGGACTCACAACTAAAAAATATATACAACTATGTACTGGGGGGCTTTGGGGAGAAAAATGGAAAAAAAAAGTTAACTCACAGTGGATCAATGACCAAAATGTAAGTACTAAAACTATAAAACTCTTAGAAGAAAGTGTAGGAGTAAATTTTCATGACTTTGGATTTGGCAAAGGATTCTTAGATGTGACATCAAAAGCATGAGCAACAAAAGAAAATAGATAAATTGGACTTCATAAAAATTAAAAACATTTGGGCCAGCCCTGGTGGCCTAGTGGTTAAGTTCAGCATGCTCCACCTCGGTGGCCCAGTTCCTGGACATGGATCTACACTGCTCTGTTAGTGGCCATGCTGTGCTGGTGGCCCACATACTGAAAAACGGAGGAAGATTGGCACAGATGTTATTTCAGGGCAAATCCTCCTCAGGAAAAAAAAATCAAAAACTTTTGTGCTTCAGAGGACACCATCAAGAAAGTACAAAGACTGGGCCGGCCCGGTGGCACAGCAGTTAAGTTCGCATGTTCCGCTGCAGCGACTCAGGGTTCGCCGGTTCAGATCCCGGGTGCGGACCTACACACTGCTGGTCAAGCCATGCTGTGGCAGGCATCCCACATATAAAATAGAGGAAGATGGGCACAGATGTTAGCTCAGGGCCAGTTTTCCTCAGCAAAAAGAGGAGGATTGGCAGCAGATGTTAGCTCAAGGCTAATCTTCCTAAAAAAAAAAAAAGAACAAAAACAACGCACAGAATGGGAGAAAACATTTGCAAATCATATCTGATAAGGGACTTGTATCTAAAATTTATAAAGAACTCTTAAAACAATAATAAAAAGATAGATGTTAGCTCAGGGACAATCTTCCTCACTAATAATAATAATAAAAAGACAAACAACCCAATAAAAAATGGGCAAAGGATCTAATAGACTTTTCTCCAAGGAAGGTATACAAATGGCCAGCAAGCACATGAAAAGATGCTCAACATCATTAGTCATCAGGGAAATACAAACTGAAAGCACGAGATACCACTTTATACCCGCCAGGATGGCTAGAACCAAGAGATCAGATACTAAAAAGTGTTGATGAAGATGTGGAGAAATTGGAATACTCCTACACTGCTGGTGGGAATGTAAAACATTGCAGCCACTTTGGAAAATAGTCTGGCAATTTCTCAAGTGATTAAATATAGAATTATATGATTCAACAATTTTACTCCTAGGTATATACACAAGAGTAATGAAAGCATATGTCCACAAATAACTTGTGCACAAACGTTTAGAATAGCAGTATTCACAACTGCCAAAAGATGGAAACAACCCAAAAGTCCATCAGCAAATGAATGGATAAAGAGAATGTGGTGCAGTCATACGACAGAATATTATTTGGCCATAAAAATGCATGAAGTGCCGGCTCAGGCTACAGCGTGGACGAACCTCGAAAACATTGTGCTCAGTGAAAGAAGTCAGTCACAAACGTCCACGTATTGTGTGATCCCATTTATATGAAAGTCCAGAATAGGGAAATAGAAAGAGACACAAAGAGGTTTAGTGGGTGCTTAAGGCTGGGGTGGGGAGTGGTGGGGAGGAAAGGCATAATTGCTTAAGGGTATAGAGTTTCTTTTTGAGGAGATGAAAACGTTCTGTGGTCATGGTTACATATATATGTGAATACATCAAAAATCATCGAATCGTAGACTCTAACATTTTCCCACTGTCCTCATCTCGGGTATGTTTCCAGGGAACCCAGCCTTCCGCAGGGAGATGGATACCAGACGGGGAAGCACTTTATGAACACATTTGAATACAGCGGAGCATAAACATGAGACTGTTTTTATTTCTCCGTCATGAGTTTCTCTGTTGCTGGCTCTCCTCTCACATTCATTACTGAATATGGAAGCACTTTATAAATACATCTGCACGGTTTTATTTCTCCATGACCACGCTTCTCTATTCTAGACTCTTCTCTCCCATCTCTTAAGGAGCACATCTCATAGCTCTTAAATCATTTTCAGTTATTACAAGTCCAGCTTAGTGTGGCTTAAAACCTCCACCTCATATCCATTTTAAGAGTCATTTTTGGGGGCCGGCCCCGTGGCCGAGTGGTTAAGTTCGCATGCTCCACTTCAGTGGCCCAGGGTCTCACCAGTTTGAATCCTGGGCACGGACATGGCACCGCTCATCAGGCCATGCTGAGGTGGCATCCCACATGCCACAGCTAGAAGGACCCACAACTAAAAATATACAACTACATACTCGGGGGCTTTGGGGAGAAAAAGGAAAAATAAAATCTTAAAAAAAATAAGACTCATTTCTTCCTCCCCCTGTGCCAGCCAGGTTTGCCCCAGGTGCCACTGGTCTGCAATGTCCCCTCTCTCCGAGCTCTATCTTTATCTGGTGTGATGGAGGGAGTGGCTTGTTGTGCTCAGCCTGGCTGGATTCTGCCCCCAGTGTGGTC